GAAACTGAAAGCTGATTTAATGCATGACGGAACTCGAGCTCTTTTAGCACGTTTCTGTATGACAGAACCGAAGCTGACTAAGCGCATGTCTTTGCGACAGACTAATGGAAGTGTGAGTATGGATGAACTTATATATCTTATTTAATTGTAGTGGGAAATCACAAATTACAATCAGCTGCGCATCAGCTGATGCTGGCTGTCACGTCGTGATCTGCCTGAACTGAGCTCCATTCGTCACTCAAACTATATTTGTGTGACCTTTGAATATAATCATTGTGATCAGTATATATATAATACAGTAATATACACTGCATGCTGATATTAGCTCACTGGCTTTTAAATCCATCATTTTCACGATGATCACTAGAAATGCACTGGAAATGCATTATATATTGTAACGGCTGGACCAATCAGACACATTATTATTTGTTATATTTAACAAATAATCCATAACACTCCTCACCCAACAAGCAAACCATTACTCGCCATTAAATTCATAGACACAAGTCTTTCTACGAATAAACGTGCATATCCCTGGGACATTGTGTATTTTTACTGTTTTGTAATTATTTCTGGCAGCTGATCTAATTATTTATAATTGATAATAAGTTATTTATTCAGATTTCCCTCGAGCTAATTAACTACCATGTAAGTAATACATTATGGTAGTTTATCCAAACTTGAAGATAAGGTATGAAGTTTCCTACAAACGTTCATCATTTGACTAGTGTTTATGAGATGGCCTGAACGTGTAAGTGTGTATGTGCATCTCACCAGATGTCAAGAGAGGTGGAGTAATCTGTTGACCCCAGCAGCACATCAGGAGGTCTGTACCAGAGAGTGACCACTTCATTCGAGAATGTCTTTGTGGGCACTGACTTTGCACGTGCAAGACCTACAGTAGACAAAACAAACCATTAAACTCTTTGTGAATGTGTTCTCTGTTAATTAAGAGATAAGTCTTTGGGTATGTGAGCGATTGGGCCTACCGAAGTCAGCAAGTTTGAGCTCTCCCCGGTCACTGATGAGAAGGTTCTGAGGTTTTAGATCTCTATGCAAAACTTTCTGCCGATGGCAATAAGCTAGACCTCGCAATAGCTGAAACAGGAAAATCTATAAGGTGGCAACAAAGAGTACAAAAAATCATTCCAAAATCAGGTGCTTACCGCTGTTGTAAACCATGCTTCCAAAATATTTTAATAATGTGCATTTAACAATTAACTTAACTACACAGAGGCTAATGTGTGTATATGGCTTTGCTTTTGTTGATCATTTATCTACATGGCAGCGGCTTGTTCTCTCCTTGATATATTTTTTCAGTTTTCTCGTTTCTTTTGCAGCAGCTAGAGTTCTTACAAGAACCAGGAAGTATGACCATATTAGCCCGGTTCTGTCAACACTGCACTGGCTCCCTATTAAACATCCTATAGATTTTAAAATCTTGCTTATTACTTATAAAGCCCTGAATGGTTTAGCACCTCAGTATTTGAACGAGCTCTTGTTACATTATAGTCCTTCACATCCGCTGCGTTCTCAAAACTGGCAATTTGATAATACCTAGAATATCACAATCAACTGCGGGCAGAAGATCCTTCTCCTATTTAGTGCCCAAACTCTGGAATAACCTACCTAACATTGTTCGGGAGGCAGACACACTCTGTCAAGTTTAAAGTGGACCAAAATTCCTTCACAGCCCTGTAAAAGACTCATTGCAAGCTATCCAGTACGTATTCTGACCAGATGGTGGATCAGCACCTAGAGAGGACCTCTACAGCCCTGAAAGACAGCGGAGACCAGGACAACTAGATGAGCCCCAGATACAGATCCCCTGTAAAGACCTTGTCTCAGACGACCACCGGGACAAGACCACAGGAACCAGATGAGTCCTCTGCACAATGTGACTTTGCTGCAGCCTGGAATTGAACTGCTGGTTCGTCTGGTCAGAGGAGAACTGGCCCCCGACTGAGCCTAGTTTCTCCCAAGGTTTTTTCTCCATTCTGTCACCGATGGAGTTTTGGTTCCTTGCCGCTGTCGCCTCTGGCTTGCTTAGTTGGGGACACTTCATTTCCAGCGATATCGTTGACATGACTGCACAGAGACTATTTAAACTGAACTGAGCTGGATGTTGACATCACTGAATTCAATGATGAACTGTCTTTAACTGAAAAATGAGTGTTTACGATTATCATTTTGCATTATTGATACAATATTTTCCTAATTAATGCTGTACAGTTGCTTTGACACAATCTGTATTGTTAAAAGCACTATATCAATAAAGGTGACTATATCTTTATCCCGGTTTTCTTGTTTCTTTGCTAGTTTCGCTCGGTATCCTCCTGCTTGTTATACCTAGAGTATTAAAAGGTACACCATATTTTGCACTATATTGTTTGTGCACTATATTCCTCAACTATATTCTGTCTTCTGAAGCCATATAATGGATTTGCCTGATAAAGAAACTAAAATTGTAATTATGCAGAGAAAGCCTTCCCCTCTGCCTTAGTCTGTTCAGGAGAAGCTGTGTTGTGCAAGGTTTGACGTGAATGATGACAAACCTCGTTGGTATTGGACAGTGATGAATGCAGTCATGAATCATTTCACTTTGAAAGCTACTGCGAAAAGGCACTGTTTTGCTTCCATTTTGTTGCCTGTTTTAATTTGATATGTTTAATTAATTATTTTAAATAAATTTTATTATCTATTTATTTTATTAAATCGATGCCTTTGTTTCTGTAGCTAAATTCTGCTACAAAATAGTTTTTTCTCCTCAGTGACTTTCCCTCATGCATGACTTTTTTAGTATTATTTGTTAAGGATAATAAACATACTAATTTTAAACTAAACTTAAAAGCTTAAAATTGTTTAAACAGTCATAGCAGGCAGATATACAGCATGTCTTCGCCCCTAACCTTTACATTATAAACGCTCATTATGCTCCCACAGTCATCCAAATACTGTTTGAGGTCCCTCTCCTGGAAAAGACAGAGCACAAATTAATTAGAATTAGGTGGACAAAATTAGATGAATAAAATATATGCACGTCACCCACCAAGTACTCGAAGACTAGTGTAAGGCACTTCTCTGTGTGAATGATGTCGTGGAGGGTGACAATGTTGGCATGTTTCAAGTTCTTCAGAAGAGACACTGACAGAGAGAGAAATATCATCACATCAAATCAGCATCAATTAAAACATCACAAGAAGTGATCGTTCTCTACACTTACAGCCTGGCACGGTTACTGTAGTCTACTAGGAAAATTGTGTTAAATAATCCCAAGAGCAATATACATGCATTAAGAATACTAGACCCTTGAGTACACTTGTATATCTACCAAGTCACTAAATGCTATCTAGTTAAATTTTGGTTTTAATAATGGCCAAACACAAATAAAAAATGTTCCCATAAACAAATCAGTCTCAGCTAGAAGCTGCATTGAACGGTACACTCTAAACACCAGCTTTATCTATGAGACTGAAGGCAAAACTCTCAGATTCTGCTGGTAAATATCCCAAATCAAGATTAGACGGTAAATTATTTGAAATGAGCATTATGGGTGGATGAACTAAGTTGGAGTTGTTGATCTGTTGTGGAAACAGATCTTATTAAAGTCTGTGAGAAGTGACCTACAAGCCAAATACCTATGGCAAGTACTTCAGAAAGCACAAGATGAAAACTGTATGCAGGATTCTTTGATGAATGATACGGCATTCATTAGAAACTGATCCAAATTTCTAAAGACGTCTGTAAACACATTTTTAGTTATTTTCAATCTATTTAATGCATCCAAAAAGCACTGTACCTTCTCGTATGGCGGTGCAAGGTGCGCCTTCTTCATACTCCAGCCTGATTTCTTTCAGAGCCACTAGATTATCCGTTAGTTTACTACGACCCTTAAACACTGTTGCATATGTGCCCTGCAAACACATACAATATGCTGTTCAATGGCATTAATGATGTGTAATGGCCTTTGCATTTATATAAAAAGACAAGCTGTCAAATTATCAGAAAAGAACTAAGACTGTCTTAACCAGTGTCTTTAACACATTACAAGTAATGCCAGTTACGTAACCAGATTACTTTTTCAAGTAACTAAAACATTACTTTTTAATGTACAAGAAAATATCTGAGTTACTGTTTCCTCATTTATTGACCGCCATGATGAGAGAAATCAGGAGCTGTGTGAATGTCAAC